ACCACCATTTATACTTACATCACCGTGTAAACCTCATATCGTACATTTAATTATTTACTTGTGAGATTTTCCTTTGATCTGACAGATTGTATGCAATTACTTCTGAATAGACAGACATGAATGGAGGTGAGCTGAAATTGGAGCAGCGCCTCACAAACACCCTGTTGCAGTTATCCTCTCCTCCCACGCTCCCAGCCTTGTCCGACCAAAACCAGAACCAAACCCTTCCCTTCCTTTTTTCTTTCTTTCTTTTTCATTTGAAACAGAAAAATGAAGTTTATTAATGTTACGCCCGACAGGGGTTCATAAGACTAATTAAGAAAAGGGTTCTGTTCCCTCGGGACGAAACGAAATAGAAAATTAAGGTAATGAATCAAATTAAGGAGAAACAGATGGAAAATAGGATCCGATATTTTTGCTCTCTTTTGACCCGAAGAGTTATTTTACAATTACATGGAGAGAAGGAATTTACTATTATCCTGGTTACATTTGTTATTCGAAGGTTTGTAATTGACACGTGTAAATAAATAAGGATGATAATTTTTATCCTTTCCAGACTGTCTGATTCAATGGTATAAAAACAAGCAACATTTTTATATTATGTCTACAAATTTTACAGGCCTACTAAACGACAGGCTGTAGAACATACCTTCAATAAAATAAAACATTTTAAATTTTTGTAGAAAGTTGAACATACAAATTTGCTTGTCAGCCTGCCCACTGCTTCAAACCACGAAATTAGTCTCTTGTGGCTTTATAAGGCTTTGTAAACACCAACGATCAAAATGCCTTGTGAAAAAATTTTGAACGACGGAGTCCAAAGGGAAGTCGGGAGACATGGAGGCTTATGAAGCTGGCTCGATATTTGGCTGAAAACCTGACGTCTTATCGAAAACGAAGCAGGAGTATTCTACTAATTTTAAGCAAGTAATTTAATTTAACAAATTTACAGACACATACGTAATATTCAAATTATTAGCCATAAAATTGTAACTTAACCTTTCCCGGGTTATAAATAATATTACTTTCTTAGAAATATACAGGGTGAGTCAGAAGTATGTTTACAAACTTCTTGTGCGTGTTCTAGGATCAAAAATAAGAAAAAATGTTCCTATGAACATGGGGTCGCAAATGTTTCATTTTCGAAATAATAGCCAAAAATAAGTTTCAATGAATTTACTTTATATCAAAATGAATCCAGCTTCCAGCAAAGATTTTTAATTAAAATTTGTGCTGGAATTGTTGGCGCATGCTTATTGGCCACACATGCTTCCATCTCGTCTAAGAGGACCTTCACATCGGCGATTCTTAAGAAGACACTTGCCACGTCTCCTTGAAGATGTACCACTGAATACAAGAGGACGAATGTGGTTTATGCACGACGGAGCCCCAGCACACTTCACCCGTCACGTCGGAGATCATCTCAATGAACAGTACCCTCAGCGATGGATTGGTCGTGATGACCCAGTAGCATGGCCACCGAGGTCACCGGACCTGAAACCATTGGACTTTTATCTGTGGGGTCACATGAAGTCCGTCGTTCATGCAACACCCATAAACAATGAAGACGACCTAAGGGAACGTGTGCAGAAAGCATGCCAGATG